ACTATGATTCGTTTCCAAATATGCAATTAATAGAGAGAGTGCAATTAACAGGGACAGTGATCGCGATTTAAAATGAAACCAGTCACAAGGTCGTGACATTGAAAGAAATTAAAAATTTCTAGAATGAATATCAATAAGAGAGACTGGGATACAACCGGATGAAGTATTTGGTGAGAAGTTAAAGAAAGACAAAAAGGCAGAAAGACAAGAGTAAAACTCAATATTGACAATGTTTGTAGATGTTTTACGCTGTTTTCCTTTATTTGTTTCTAACTTTTTGTTCGTCAAATTGTAACAGTTTAAAACACTTAATCTTATCAATTTATTCCAGTAGTATCTACAAGATAAATGAAGATTAATTAGTAAATTGATAATATAGGTATATGAAGAGTTTAAAGTATGATCTATAAAACGACGGAGTGACTCCCCGGAGAGGGAAACTCGAAAATAAGAATCTAAAGGTTAGGGGTTATGCTCAAATGCTTTTGTCATCGTCTGCAGTGCATAAAGTGATAAAACTGCATTGTGTCTTACGTGGATTATTTTTACTAGATGCAAAAATAACAGAAATTGAATTTCCAAATATCTATGGGTATCTACAGGAGGGATGTCGATATTTTAAAACATGCCACTTAGTGGTATTAGGAATTTATGAATAGTTGATATCCGAAGGTTTACCGGAAGTGCACGTCTGTCTGTATCCTAGATCAAAACAATCTGCCTCTATTCCAGCCACTGATAGCTATTTTGAGGGTTGTCAACAGCCAATGACTGGTGCCTTGGAAAAAGAATAGTTCGAACTGGCCCGATTTAAAATTCTATAAATAGAATTGGGTTAAATACTGTTCAAATATGAGAAATGGTCATCGAATATTGCAAACTGTATGTTTGAAGTCTTTTTTAAACACAGTTCCTGATCAACGTTGTATATGTTTGTGTTTTAACAGGAGGGGGATGTTGTCTCAGTAAAAATTGACACGATAGATTTTGTAGAGTAAGAAGTTGTACTGAGAGAGGTTTGTGTAGATTTTGGCAAGTTTAGTAAAGACATGATAATCTGTACAAGTATAATGTTGGGGTGTATGTACACTTGTAGATGACAATACTATTGTTTATTGGTAATGACTTAGTAATCAATAAAACCTATTAACATAGTTAGATTCACTTTTGACCTAGAAAAACCTTGGACTCGACTCAAATTATCTAAAATGACTTGAATATTTTGCACTTTAAGATGAGGTACCGTTTTAAAAATTCCTCCCAGTGATACCAATGTCTTCTTTAGCATACTTTTAAAATCAAAATAATACGCATGGCATCGCAGTCAAACGTAAACTTGTCGAATCTGAGTTTGGGTTTGAAGAAAGATCTACATCCCAACTCACATAAATACGTAAATTATATTGAACAGAAATTGAATATTTAAACTACTGTACCCAGTAAAGTGCGAGTTACAATTAAGTTTTGTCAGCTTTTTAAGCTTTTTCTTTTTACAATAACTTTTATGAACTAATTCGTGACGGTTGTTGAGCATGTTTGTATCCATCTTTAAATAATCGCCTATATATTATTAAATTTATAAAAATAACTTATTGATAGTGAATGACCCTTCAAACTAACAAAAACAAAACGTTAAAAGTTATCTTTTATATGTGAAATAAAGTGAATTTTACAAAATAATATATGTCATGGGTTACAAAGTTGGAGTCGAAAAAAGAATAACGGTAGCGCTGTCCTTCGTAGAGTGAAATACTGTTGTCCCTAATAGAGTGAAATACTGATGTCCCTCATAGATTGTGGGTACTGCTGTCCTTCATAGAGTGAAATACTGATGTCCCTTATAGAGTGTGGGTACTGCTGTCTCTCATAGAGTAAAATACTGATGCCCCTCATAGAGTAAAATACTGATGCCCCCTTCGAAAGTTGGAGTCGAAAAAAGAATAACGGCAGCGCTGTCCTTCGTAGAGTGAAATACTGATGTCCTTCGTAGAGTGAAATACTGATGTCCCTCATATAGTGTAGATACTGCTGTCCCTCATAGAGTGAAATACTGATGTCCTTCATAGAGTGTAAATACTGATGTCCGTCATAGAGTGAAATACTGATGTCCCTCATAGAGTGTAAATACTGCTGTCCTTCATAGAGTGAAAATACTGCTGTCCCTCATAGAGTGAAATACTGCTGTCCTTCATAGAGTGAAAATACTGATGTCCTTCATTGAGTGTAAATACTGATGTCCGTCATAGATTGAAATACTGCTGTCCCTCATAGAGTGTAAATACTGCTGTCCCTCATAGAGTGAAATACTGATGTCCTTCATAGAGTGTAAATACTGATGTCCGTCATAGAGTGAAATACTGATGTCCCTCATAGAGTGTAAATACTGCTGTCCCTCATAGAGTGTAAATACTGCTGTTCCTCATAAAGTGAAATACTGATGTCCTCCATAGAGTGAAATACTGATGTCCCTAATAGATTGTGGGTACTGCTGTCCTTCATAGAGTAAAATACTGCTGTCCCTCATAGATTGTGGGTACTGCTGTCCTTAATGGAGTGAAATACTGCTGTCCCTCATAGATTGTGGATACTGCTGTCCTTCATAGAGTGAAATACTGATGTCTCTCATAGATTGTGGGTACTGCTGTCCTTCATAGAGTGAAATACTGCTGTCCCTCATAGATTGTGGATACTGCTGTCCTTCATAGAGTGAAATACTGATGTCCCTCATAGATTGTGGGTACTGCTGTCCCTCATAGAGTGAAATACTGATGTCCCTCATTGAGTGAAATACTGATGTCCCTGATAGATTATGGATACTGCTGTCCCTCATAGAGTGAAATACTGATGCCCCTCATAGATTGTGGGTAATGGGGTTACTCATATATTATGGATACTGCTGTCCTTCATAGAGAGAAATACTGATGTCCCTCATAGAGTGTAAATACTGCTGTCCCTCATAGAGTGAAATACTGATGTCCCTAATAGATTGTGGGTACTGCTGTCCTTCATAGAGAGAAATACTGATGTCCCTCATAGAGTGTAAATACTGCTGTCCCTCGTAGATTTTGGGTACTGCTGTCCTTCATAGAGTGGAATACTGATGTCCCTAATAGATTGTGGGTACTGCTGTCCTTCATAGAGTGGAATACTGATGTCCCTAATAGATTGTGGGTACTGCTGTCCTTCATAGAGTGAAATACTGCTGTCCCTCATAGATTGTGGGTACTGCTGTTCTTCATAGAGTGAAATACTGCTGTCCCTCATAGATTGTGGGTACTGCTGTCCTTCATAGAGAGAAATACTGATGTCCCTCATAGATTGTGGGTACTGCTGTTCTTCATAGAGTGAAATACTGATGTCCCTCATAGATTGTGGGTACTGCTGTCCTTCATAGAGTGAAATACTGCTGTCCCTAATAGATTGTGGGTACTGCTGTCCTTCATAGAGAGAAATACTGCTGTCCCTCATAGATTGTGGGTACTGCTGTCCCTAATAGATTGTGGGTACTGCTGTCCTTCATAGAGAGAAATACTGATGTCCCTCATAGATTGTGGGTACTGCTGTCCTTCATAGAGTGAAATACTGATGTCCCTCATAGATTGTGGGTACTGCTGTTCTTCATAGAGTGAAATACTGATGTCCCTAATAGATTGTGGGTACTGCTGTCCTTCATAGAGAGAAATACTGATGTCCCTCATAGATTGTGGGTACTGCTGTTCTTCATAGAGTGAAATACTGATGTCCCTCATAGATTGTGGGTACTGCTGTTCTTCATAGAGTGAAATACTGCTGTCCCTCATAGATTGTGGGTACTGCTGTCCTTCATAGAGTAAAATACTGATGTCCCTAATAGATTGTGGGTACTGCTGTTCTTCATAGAGTGAAATACTGATGTCCCTAATAGATTGTGGGTACTGCTGTCCTTCATAGAGTGTAAATACTGCTGTCCCTCATAGATTAAAATATTGATGCCCCTCATAGATTGTGCGTACTTATGTCCCTCATAGATTGTGGGTACTGCTGTCCTTCATAGAGTGAAATACTGATGTCTCTAATAGATTGTGGGTACAGCTGTCCTTCAAAGAGAGAAATACTGATGTCCCTCATAGATTGTGGGTACTGCTGTCCTTCATAGAGTCAAATACTGCTGTCCCTCATAGATTGTGGGTACTGCTGTCCTTCAAAGAGAGAAATATTGATGTCCCTCATAGAATGTGGGTACTGCTGTCCTTCATAGAGCGAAATACTGATGTCCCTCATAGATTGTGGGTACTGCTGTCCTTCATAGAGTGAAATACTGATGTCCCTAATAGATTGTGGGTACTGCTGTCCTTCATAGATTGAAATATTGATGTCCCTCATAGAGTGTGGGTACTGCTGTCCCTCATAGAGAGAAAGACTGATGTCCCTCATAGAGTGTAAATTCTGCTGTCCCTCATAGATTGTGGGTACTGCTGTCCTTCATAAAGTGAAATACTGCTGTCCCTCATAGATTTTGGGTACTGCTGTCCCTCATAGAGTGTAAATTCTGCTGTCCCTCATAGATTGTGGGTACTGCTGTCCTTCATAAAGTGAAATACTGCTGTCCCTCATAGATTGTGGGTACTGCTGTCCCTCATAGATTGTGGGTACTGCTGTCCCTCATAGAGTGAAATACTGCTGTCCCTCATAGAGTGTAAATACTGCTGTCCTCCATAGAGTGTAAATACTGCTGTCCCTCATAGATTGTGGGTACTGCTGTCCCTCATAGATTAAAATATTGATGCCCCTCATAGATTGTGCGTACTTATGTCCCTCATAGATTGTGGGTACTGCTGTCCCTCATAGAGTGAAACATTGATGTCCCTCATAGATTGTGGGTACTGCTGTCCTCCATAGAGTGAAATACTGCTGTCCCTCATAGATTGTGGGTACTGCTGTCCTCCATAGAGTGTAAATACTGCTGTCCCTCATAGATTGTGGGTACTGCTGTCCCTCATAGATTAAAATATTGATGCCCCTCATAGATTGTGCGTACTTATGTCCCTCATAGATTGTGGGTACTGCTGTCCCTCATAGAGTGAAACATTGATGTCCCTCATAGATTGTGGGTACTGCTGTCCTTCATAGAGTGAAATACTGATGTCCCTAATAGATTGTGGGTACTGCTGTCCTTCATAGAGAGAAATACTGATGTCCCTCATAGATTGTGGGTACTGCTGTTCTTCATGGAGTGAAATACTGCTGTCCCTCATATATTGTGGATACTGCTGTCCTTCATAGAGAGAAATACTGATGTCCCTAATAGATTGTGGGTACTGCTGTCCTTCATAGAGTGAAACATTGATGTCCCTCATAGATTGTGGGTACTGCTGTCCTTCATAGAGAGAAATACTGATGTCCCTCATAGAGTGTAAATTCTGCTGTCCCTCATAGATTGTGGGTACTGCTGTCCTTCATAGAGTGAAATACTGCTGTCCCTAATAGATTGTGGGTACTGCTGTCCTTCATAAAGTGTAAATACTGCTGTCCCTCATAGATTGTGGGTACTGCTGTCCCTCATAGATTTAAATATTGATGCCCCTCATAGATTGTGGGTACTGCTGTCCTTCATAGAGAGAAATACTGATGTCCCTCATAGAGTGTAAATTCTGCTGTCCCTCATAGATTGTGGGTACTGCTGTCCTTCATAGAGTGAAATACTGCTGTCCCTCATAGATTGTGGGTACTGCTGTCCTTCATAGAGTGTAAATACTGCTGTCCCTCATAGATTGTGGGTACTGCTGTCCCTCATAGATTAAAATATTGATGCCCCTCATAGATTGTGCGTACTTATGTCCCTCATAGATTGTGGGTACTGCTGTCCCTCATAGAGTGAAACATTGATGTCCCTAATAGATTGTGGGTACTGCTGTCCCTCATAGAGTGTAGATACTGATGCCCCTCATAGAGTGAAATACTGATGTCCCTCATAGAGTGTAAATACTGATGCCCCTCATAGAATATGGGTACTGCTGTCCCTCATAGAGTGAAATACTGATGCCCCTCATAGAATGTTGGTACTGCTGTCCCTCATAGTGTAATACTGCTGTTCCTAATAGATTGTTGGCACTGTTGTCCCACATCGAGTGTGGTTATGACTGTCCTTTCTAGGCCAATAGATTGCGAGTAGGCCTAATGCTTAACCTCATTTTGCCTGATGTAATTTATTCATTGTAGGTACTGCTGAACTCAATGGATCCACAGTACACAGTTTCATAATTTCAGAATTTAAAATAAAGTTGATACATATATCATTAAACAATTACATGTTTCGGCTTGGTATGTGAAACTGACAAAAAGTCTTTAACAAGTGCCTAAACGGTTTACATGAAGATAATCTTGATAATATGTAAAGCCTAACAGCTATTCACAGCGTCACATCCGATCTTGAGACAAACTTTGTCGGTCGGCTCAACTAACTTTCAAGAAGAAACTGGTAACTTGTTGTTCAAGTCAAATTAACAGTATTAAAGTTGATTTAAGAAATTTCGAGGTTTTAGAAGTTTTAGAAACCTCTTGTTATATGTAACAATTTTTTTTCTTTACAAGACGTCTTTGTTGACTTTAAGCTTGTACACAAGTTTGAAGAAACGTTGATGATTATATTGGTTGTGGATAAACTAAAGTTTTTAGTGTTGTTACGATACAGTATTTATCAACAATCTGCTGCAATATAGGTCAACCTTATTATTTCCAGTTTGTATTTCTTTGGTGGAACATATGTACTTATCTGAACACCTTGGTGTATCGGATATTTTCTAGGCTAGATTAGTCTGGGTGAACAATAAAATTATGCCCTTTCTAAAGGATTTAAGACACTGGTTAATCCTGAAAGTGCGAGTTTATATCACTGTCCTGGCAAATTCGACCATGAGTGTAGACTACATTACATTAGGGAACGAGGAAAATTGAAAATACTTTTATACGTTTATACTTTTATAAGCCAGTTATTTCGAACACTGAAGCCATCATGAAAGAAAATCCAGATGAATTTAAATGAATAATGACGGCCATATGTCAATTTAGTTATTCTTTCGTTATTCTCTTTGGAATCTAATTTCACGTTATTTGGTCGAGGAGAGCGGAAAAGATTGCCAATCTAAACAGCATCCATATTTCAATAATACCTAATTCGGCCAAATGTACACATACTACCATGTTCTCTAATCTGCCCAATCTTTATTTGACTGAATTTTAATAATGAAAATTAATGGTTAAGTTTTATTCATAACGAGAATGTCATGATAATTAATCTGGTGAAAAACCATCACAAAATAAATATTAATTCTTTCTTCAATTTATGTAAGAAGCTTGAAATTTAATATTGATAAAAGATGAAGTAGAAAAGAGGAAAATAAACAAAAAAGAACAATGTACACCTGCATATTGGAGTAGGAGATGAAAAGAGCCCAATCAATGTTGATGGCGTAAGAAGTGTCATTATTGGAAAAGATTAGGAAAGTGGAGAAATTACTTTTACCTTTTTTTCTGTTTGCTTTATGATGGTGACAATAATTAGTGTTTGAGAAATCTGGGATAAGTTATTAAACAATCGATGTAATATTGATGTTATATTGATGTTATATGAATGTTATATTGATGTTATATCTAGAACAGCAGGTGTGATATTCTACACTATCTCCTTCAATTTACTACTTCATCTTAATCTTTATACAAACCAAGCATAACTTCACTGTCCTCCTCGATGAAGATTTTTTTTTTTCAATTCTTAGTACAGCTAGATACATATTCAATTTTGATTTATTTTAAAGGGACGGGTTCGCCATTCGTACTTTAGTCTCAGAAACGGAAATTTTTTTTAGTTAAGGTAATCAGTAAGAATGACTACAGATCACCGTCGAAATTTGAGCCTCCAAAACCATGTGTGTCTAGAATTATCCACTATTGAAAGTTAAATAGACGACTCGTCTTTTCTTGAGACACTGCGATATATAGAAAAGACATAATATATAGAATTAGAAAGTCCTTGAGGTATTTTTGAAAGAATTATGCGGTTTGTGTACATAATAGTAGGCTATATTACATATATCCAAGAAAAAGGCGAATCTGTCCCTTTAATGCTAAAACACCTTTTGTATTTGGGAAACCAGACCTTGGTATGAGACAAAAACTTAAGTAATGTTAGTACATTGGCAGATCAAATATACAAAGCATAGAAGGACTTTAGATTCAGGATAATCAGATTGTATCGGAGAATTTATTAAACGTGCTCACATGTGGAGATGGCTGTTGGTTTTTCAAAAAGGATATTTATATTTTATATTTATAATTGATGTCGAAGATTAAGCAAAAAGTTTATAATTCTTGTATTGTTGCATAGTTAAGAAGTTTTCTAGATTGGTAAGGTAGGCCTATAAGTGCAGCATACTCTGATAAAATGTATTAATATATTCATATGCACGAAATATCGTTGCGTCATTTCAAGTACCTGTCCCTTATCGCAGGTAAAGTTAAATCGTTCAGTTGAAACACGCATAAACCAGTTTAAAACAATATGATCGGATAACGAAACTACAAGTCCTACAGGCGATAGATTTACCATAATATGAATAATGATTTGATCTGATGTAACACTACCTTTAATATCACCAAATGACTTCGTCTTCAGATAATCCACATGATACTTGGTTGTCACTTCCGCTGATCCGTTTCATCTTATCCTTACAGTAGACAAACAAAATTTCAGATTTTCTTTCTGAAAAGATATACGGGTAACTGCTGTAGAGCTCTACTTGTTGTAGATGCACAGCACACAATATCTCTTTGCAGCCTATGAAAACCTTACAATATCTTTAAAGCGAGAAAGCGCAGTTCCATCTGTGTTTCTATAAAGGTAAAAACTACAATGTATATGAATCATAATCAAATATAAACAATTAAACGTTGGAAACGTTGTAACCGAAGAGATGTATTGTTATAACCTGCAAAAAATACAGGTAGATCGCGGCCTATTGCCAGTATGGTAAACAAATATACCATTTGTAGCCTATTTGTCAAGTTAACTTTCAAGTTTTGCATCTTTGGGAGCTTGAATGGCTTTGTAATAAAATATTGTGTTTAAGAAATTAAAATAAATGTTGACGAAAGTTGAATGACTGCTCTAAATCTGGGACAATATAAATGTAGTACACACTAAAAAAAACAAAAAAGAATAGTGGACCTATAATATATGGCTAATATCTTCAGGGTATGATTTCTACAACGAAAAAAATGTTGATTTCCAGATAGTTCTGTTGGGGATTTGGTTTTAATTTATTTGCTTCAACAGCTTCAGATTCAAAATCCAAAAGGATATATCAATATATAAGAACTAACGATTCAGCAAATACCTTAATCAACTATTAGTATCAACAGAATATGGCGATTAGCAATTATTAGGTGCATTATGGTACAGTGTGAGGCACAAGGACATTGTAGAATGTGGAATATTTGGTAATGTCTTGATGGACTCATTGTAGCTTGTACAATATGTTTTATGAATATTTTTATTATTAATGCTTCTGCTTTATATAGAAACCAAAAGATATGGTAGATTTGACTTTTATCATGATGAAAAAATAGATCGGAACAACTCCCGTAACAAATTACATTTATGTCATCCCATCCCATCACAACACAACAGATTCACGAAAATATTTTATTGATTATTAAACTTATGATGTACAAATTAAAATAAGATTCTGAAATCTTTATCTTTACATTGCTTCGTCATTTCTAACCGGTCAAAAATTAAAAAGACCTTGATCTACTAATTTCTTCTGAATATACCGGTACATATTTTGTCAAGGACAATTTTTACTATCAGTTACCCGTATTTTTGTATTAGATAATATACCAAGATAGCATTATCTGTTCATTTCACTAGTGACAAAATATAGTGAACACACTGAATCAAATACTGGATCCTTATTCAACATAACGTATAGTTTCAAATTGTGAATAACATTTGAATTTGCGAATTTAGTGGATAAAGACTGTCGTGAAAGATTCTGTTGAAAGTAGTTTGTGGATAAGTGCTTGAGAGATATTCATACAATGATGACGCTGCTCAATACTTAGTGAAAACACAAGATACTTTTGATCAGATGAACTCACGACAGAATTGTCTTTTTAAATTTTGGCATAAACAATAAAATATAACCCCTAATAATCATAACTGTCCTCGTTTTCTTTGTATTTGTGGACACCGTCCTCAGACAAAAGCAGTTACAGTTGTATGGATGTAGTGATACATGCTGTGCTTTCGTTCAAAATAAAGTAACTCAAATAAAATGAAATCAAACTGTACAAAAGAAAGAATCGTCTTCTCGTTGTGGACACTTATTTTGCGCTTAAAAGCTGGAAACCACTTGTGAGCAGC